ATGTCGAAAATATTGGGGATGACTCAGACGGCGATGAAAAAAGAAAAGTCAGTTTTTTCTGACTGATGAAATGGATCAAATAATTTTCTCAAGTATAGCCGAGGGAGGGGAATTATGTCTTTTTAAATTAATCACTTCATGTTCCTGTGTTGAAATCCATTTGTTACGGCAATGGTTTGTCGATAAAGCATTAGGTTCGTTGCGCTCTAGGGTGGCAGCCTTTGAGACGAGGTAATGATACTGTGCAATGTGGCATCTTCAAACGCTGTGGCCTTGTTGGAGTGATTCTGGCTGAGCGAATCATCAGGCTTTTACTAGACGACACGAGTGTTTGGATCACTAGCGAGCCGAACACTTGTAATTCACCGTAGCTCGAACCAACGAGGAAGTATGAGCGGCAGCTGATCAGACTATTAAAGAAATGAAGATGTGGTGTACCACGAGTGTCAAGCAGCCCGGGCTATTAGTGTAAGTATCCCCTGTTAATGATGAGTTGTTGAGATGCCCCACGTGCCGCGCACAGTTAAGCCAGGATTCCAGTCCTGGGCTAGATACGAAGCATTTAAAAAGGATTTCCAAATAACTCAGGGTGCTTTCGGATAATTGAGGCATATTTTGGCGTTTTCATTACCGCTAAGCAAATTTCAGCAATTGGTTCCTTTTACTGATGTTTCCTTCCTTACGCCCTAAAATTTTCTGCATGCATTGATTCTGTTTCTTTTTGTTCGTATGATGTGATCGTTATGTATCTGAAAGGAAGGCACTGCGGAATCTCTTAAAGCACGCTTATCATTAATCAATACACAGTCGATTTCGCTTCTACCCTCTGCTTTGCTCTTGAGAGAATTTCGTCGTTGACTTTGGACGGCCCAACAAAATAAAAATTAGTAATAATAACTTATTAAAGTTTGCGGGTTTCTGAATGGCTCTTATAACGTTCAAAAAAGAAAAAAAAATGCTGCTTGTGCATGAATGTGCGAACTTAGACTGTTCAAAAATTCTCTATCGTTGTGGAGATCAAATTCTACATGAAGTAAAAAACTTAATGAGAATGTATGTGGTGCTAAAATTGCACACGCAGCTAAAAGTTTCCTGAAAGAAGACGTCAATATTACAATCGCAGAAAAAGTAGACTTCAGGGAAAGCTAAATTATTCAAAAAATTACTTTCATACCCAGTATACGACAAATTGCCTCAGTGTTGTTCTCTGATGGCAACAACTAAAAATAAAATAGTGGCTGTCAACAAATACATACATCAATGAACTTCCAAATAGCCAGTGTGCTTTTGTCAAGAGTCTTTAGTATCGTCGAAAAGCT